TGGTAGAGTAAAGGTCTAACCCTGCTAACATCTTCCCTCACACTGGGATCAGCCCTTCCTCATGTCACAGCAATGATGGATGGACTGATAAAAACAACTGTCCATGTTATTATATCGTCCCGCATGTAAATGTATACATTTACTCTATAAAGCCTCTTTCCCACTGAAAATACCAGGTTAACACATGTTTTTAAACATGAGTCGACTCACTAACAATCAGCATTTGGCTTCCACTGGAAAATAAAAAGCTAGTCTAACCTCTCGCTGGCAGCTGCGTGGCGTCATTGCCCCCGCTGCTGTGTGTCTGGTAACACCATCACACTTGGCTAGCGTTGATGATGTCACCAGTGCGACCGAAATCAGGAAAGTAAAAAATGGAGAGCAACAAAGAAGGAAGCCAGGGCGTAGTCAGTGTGTTTTATTGTTTTGCTCTATTATCTGTCTGAATCCCTCTAACCAGAGCTGCTCCATGTTTATTGAATTTAAACAGAGGTGTTTCTGCTTTTTGTTAAATCTGAAGCAACCGACGCGGTGTGTTGACGTCTGTACATTTCGTTCAATGGTGTGATGTAATTTAGCGGGTCAACCTGGTGTTCGGTCAGAACAGCATATGCTGTCAGAACGGCATTTACTTTTATCTAACCAAAATGAATTTTGAGTCACAATATAAAGCACAGCCAATGGCTGCCAAAATTTATAGGATTTTTTACATTAAATAAAAATTCCCGTACAACTTTTTTTTTTTTTTTTACCAAAGTAGCTTATTTTGAATGAACATTGACTAATATGGTTTTAGCTATAGATGCTTCTTGTCTCGACATCCTGGAAACTTCTATCGCCCCTGGCCGTTTCTAGATCCAACAAATAGCAGTATAATGAAAGCTGATTTTCTTTTTTTTTTAAATAAACGTGTTTTTGCTGGTCAGTACACTGCTACTAAAATTCAATGTGGGAATAATTCTCTGTTGTGTAAGTGCGTGCATGTGTATTAGAACAATGTATGCCGATCAGACAGGGTATTCTGTTCTGACAGAACACCAGGTCTGTTCTTCCCAAGGCATGTTGATCAGAGCCGAGGCGGGTCGGTTGCCGAGTCATTTGACCTTGGTGGACACGCGTCAGTGAGCTGTTCTCACTGCCACTTAAAGCTGATTGTTCTTGGGTTTAAAGTGGTTTCTCAGCCAGTGGGAAAGAGATAAAAGTGACCAACACCCATCTTAAATGAAAAGGTATTACTTTACCACATGTATTTCTAAAAAGCCATAAAACCTTTAAAAGGCAATGTTTTGGATAGGCAAAGTTCAGCAATTATATAAGGATCCCAGCATGCATTTTAATTGGTATAGATAAACTTTCACATTTTAAAAGCTGTCTTTTTGGGGTTGAAAATTACTGTGAGCTATGTGTTTAGAACAAGCAGCTCTCTGCTTGAGCTGTAAGTTTACAACATTTCCACTGCAAACTAGTTTTAACTCTCACATTTATTCATTCAGCACACACTATTCTTGTGCACTCAAAGCACATTTACATTGAATACCACATACATGAATCCTAAATGTCTCTCTCCCTCTTACTGGTCAGAGGGTCATTAGGGATCATTCCCTCACATTCCTGCATGTCTGCCTGAAACCTCTACCTCCCCTTTCTGTCTTTTTATGCAGACAAATTAACATTGCTAAACACTCATGCACATTCAAACATGTCCCTACATCCCCTGCCGCTCCTCCGAACCGTCTCTCTAGGCAAATTAACATTAGAGAACAAACATGTTTCTCCTCCCTGCTTCTCTCTTTCCCTTTCTCCCCTTTATCCAAATTAGCTTTAGTAATTACTGAGATTTACACACTAAACCCTTTTTCCTTGTTTTATCTTTGATGTTTTAATGTTTTCTTTTCCATGGGAACTTCTATTTTGTAAAAAAAAAATCTTGTCTTTGCTTTAATTTCCCCTCAGACATTTTGACACTGATGACCACATAGATGTCCCCTTAGCCGCACCCTCTATCTTCAGTTTAGTGCAATGGGAGCCTTTGTTAGGATTTACACAAAGTCAAATGGAGAAAAAAGGAACAAAAACTTAAAATGTGGACCTCCAATAGACTCCAATTAATTTAAAAATCTTCCATCCACAAAGATACCACAGACACACACACACCCATCAGCAGCCCCAATCAGCCCAGAATAAATCCGCGGCAGATCTAATTACTGTGCCGTCTCTGAAGACCCTGGTCGTCGCAAAGCCAATCTTCAACTCCTTGTTTGAACAGGCTGATGAACTAAGGGACTTGATGGATATCAAGTCATTTTGTTTAATTTATAAATGGATTTCCCCCTAATGCTTAAATTATCATCAGCATGAGAGAAGATAGAGTGAGGGCACAATGAAAAGCATTTGGAAGGTAAAAAAGTCTTGAACATGTGGTGCAGTGGGGGTATGGGGGGAAGATAAATGAAGCAGTGAAGGAGACAGGGCAAAAAAAGAAAATAAAATCCAGAGAGAATTGCAATCCCCCCACTTTGGAATAATGAAAGTGTTACATTCAAAACCACAGCAGTGAATGAGGAGATATTAGAAAGCAAGAGAACTTTATCAAAGTTAGATTAAGGACAGATACTCAAAAAAAATCTGAAAATGAATCCGCCACTGCTCACCTGCTGCCACACTGTTGCTGTTCAGTGAGTGAAAAATGTGTAGAGGTGGAACACACTTGGTGAGGTATATCCCACCTCTGTCTATCCCTGGTGAGGTGAAGCGTCTTCTAAGCTCGAGTCTCGGTCAGCTCGCTTTTTATTGATTCTTCTAACAGTTCAAAACACGAGATGTTTGAAAAAATTTATTGTGTTTAAACTGATTTTAGGAGTGAAGCTGTGTGTGTTTGTGATTGTCTCCCGTGTTCTCTGCATTGCCCTATAAAGGACTGGTAACTGGATCGGGATGTACTCCAGCTCTTACTCATTAGCCCCATTTCCACTACCCTTTTGAAACCGTATCGAGATCGGTCCGAGCAAGGTAACTGTTAGGTTTATTCAATGATGATTATAAAGTTAATGTGTGTGCATATGGAACATTGGAGAAATGAGATGCTTCACTCTGTTTACTGCAAACTGTCATGCAACGGTGGTAGAAAATTGCTGAAGTTTGTGCAAGGCTAATCACAGTTATCAGAAGACCACTCTATTCTGTGATTCAATCAGAGGAGCATTTTGTCCTATGACCTGATCAATTGCCTTGTCAGAAGAACACTCTATTTTGTAACCCACCCCATGTGTTATGATCTGCTAATAAAAAGTCTCTGCAGAGGAAGTCAGTCAGAGAGTAGATGTAGCTGAATGTAGCTCTCTCCTTCTGCAGAAGCCGTTAAAAAATCCCACTTCTGTGTGGACTCAGTTTCTCTTTTATGAACCTACATTTTTTAACCTAACAGTAACCAAGACAGCTGTTGAGTGTAAATGGGACGCATAGCTGAACCAGACCATGCTAGACATAACCGAACCGCATTTGTACTAGTTCATCAGTAGGGCTTGGCCTGGTTCAGTTCTGGCTCAGTTCTCAGATAAACAAAGAGCACATGAGCAGCCACTCTCCGTAATCATGAAATTTCGGACATCCATAAAAATACCAGCTTCTTTATGGTGCCACACGATTTCCAGGGATGATTCTGCTTAGCAGTGTGATGAACCTCAACGTCTGTCATTGTTTCCTGCGTCTGGAAGCCCTGATTAGACTATCGTTGTCCACTTCCGAAAATAACAAATAAATTAACCAAAGGCTGCCTTCCTCGCCTGACGCAAGCTTACTGAATGTTACGGGCGCCGCAATGTTGATTTGGTTGTTTACCTCTAGGGAGCAGTAGTACAGCAGATCGTCACTAGGAGGCGAGGAACTGTGGTAGCCTGGTGTGTAAACAGTCTTAAGGAATCGAGCTCGGCACGATTAACTGATCCAAGCTCGGCATCGGTTTTCAGAGGGTAGTGTAAATGGCGCTTTTGCCTTCTAGGAACAGAAATGTCTTCAGCAACCCTCAACATTACTGAGTAGCAACATAGAATGAGTGGCAAAGTAAGGGGGGTTTGGATGATCTGAGCTAACTTAAAACAACAATGACTACTGATCAGTTTAAAAGGTTTTTGTTATAAACGTTTTTCAAACAGTGCACTAATGCTTTCAGCTTAATATTTTCTGGAGTGGTTTGCCAAATGACACCATACAGGCAAGCACTTCATTACTATGATGTTTAATGAGGTGCAGGCCTCTTTTTTCATTGCAAATTTACCATCATAATGAATTAAATCTAATACAGCCGCTTACAGAGCGAAATTCAGATTTAAATCTTTGTCACCACATGATCCTCAAAAAATATTCTGAAGCCAAACCGACAGAAACACAGAAAACAAAGACAAGCTGCTACATCTGAAGTTACGTTCACAACAAACCAGGGGCGAAGGTAGAAGGGGATTTTGGAAATTGTTTTCATAATCATCAATACGTAATCCCTGAGGGATATGGAGGATAAGCACTTAGAGGGCTGGCTCCACCTTCTTGGCCAGAATTTCTAAGCTTGAGTGTGCTTGGGTGTTTTTTTATGTCTTGAAATAATCTTTATATGAAATAGTAATATAGTAAGAACCTTTTCAAACATTCACTGGACAGTTTTGCTGTATACACCAAACTCCAGGTGTTTTGGGTATGGACACATCCTATAAACCAATTTTTTTTCTGTAGTCTAACTGGTAAAACCAAGTTTCTACATTAAATTGGAAAATTTTATTGTACCCTGTATTATAGCCTTGATATTTTATCCATTAATACAATTCTTTAGTTTACATAGACAATATGCAACGATTGGGTCTTCATAATACACCATCTATTTAATTTTTACCAAGCACTACTACACTCTTTTTCCTGCTATCATTTTATCTCTCCTCTGCCATTTAGCTCAAGTTTAAAATGTCTTAAGAGATTAAGCTGATCTTCTTAAGTCTCTGACCCTTAAGTCCTACCTGGTTCAGGCGTCTCAGAGTGTGAAGACGATGAAGCTGAGGATGCCCCATCTTCACTGACAACGCCTTGGGACAGCGTCATCCCTCTCCCTGGAGGAAGCTTCATGCCTAGCTGTTCTGCCATCTCCACGTGATCACCAGGGTGGACATAGTCAAATACACTGCTTCCTGTAAGCTCAACCTGTAAGAGAAAACAATGAATATGTTACAATTCATCCATTAAAGTTTTTTGTTACCTTTGTTCTTTAAAAAAAAAAAAACATTGTTAATGTTGAAAAGTTAAAGCATTATTTTTTTGGTGTAAAACTAAGCAAGTGAAGGTCACTGAATGGAAGTTATATTGATATTGGAGAGTCAAAACTATGAAACATTTTCAATGTTTCAACCCTAAGGTTTAACCTGGTGTTCAGAAGATGTCAGGGAAGGTTTTTCTGCAGCTTTTTAAAGCCTAAAAAACACTGACTCCCACCATGAGCTCCTGCTTTCTGCCTTTCACTAGCAGAAAAAGAAGCATTCTGAACTCATTAACAAAGAGGCCAAATCCATCAGCATAGAAATTCTGAAATTTGTAAAAACAAGATTTAATGTAATAGTTCTTTCTCACATTTACACCACATATGATCTAAATCTTAGAAAATGAACTCGATTTTCCCCATACTGAGTATACTGCTCGTTAACACTTAATTTTCTAAGCAGCCAATCACATGGTGGCAACTCAGTGCATTTAGGCATGTAGACATGGTCAAGACAATCTCCTGCAGTTCAAACCGAGCATCAGTATGGGGAAGAAAGGTGATTTGAGTGACTTTGAACGTGGCATGATTGTTGGTGCCAGAAGGGCTGGTCTGAGTATTTCAGAAACTGCTGATCTACTGGGATTTTCAAGCACAACCATCTCTAGGGTTTACCGAGAATGGTCCGAAAAAGAAAAAACATCCAGTGAGCGGCAGTTCTGTGGGCGGAAATGCCTTGTTGATGCCAGAGGTCAGAGGAGAATGGCCAGACTGGTTCGAGCTGATAGAAGGGCAACAGTGACTCATACAACCACCCGTTACAACCAAGGTGGGCAGAAGAGCATCTCTGAACGCACAGTACGTTGAACTTTGAGGAAGATGGGCTACAGCAGCAGAAGACCACACCGGGTGCCACTCCTTTCAGCTAAGAACAGGAAACTGAGGATACAATTTGCACAAGCTCATCGAAATTGGACAATAGAAGATTGGAAAAACGTTGCCTGGTCTGATGAGCCTCGATTTCTGCTGCGACATTCGGCTGTTGCCATTTTTAGCTGAAACAGCTCCGTATGTCTAACGAACTGATTTTTCTGCGGCATCTCTAATTTTTTTAACCAACCTCTTAACTTTTAAACATCTACGTAGCTGCCGGTTAATATTCACTGAGCGCTGCTGTGTGTCTCTCCTTCTTTACGTAGCTTCGTCCGGGACACGGGAGCAGCGGGAGAGTGAAAAAAACTGTGACTCAGAATGCTCTGAACACAGTTAGCTGCACCCAACCTCTGTTACCTTTGTCTAAAGTAAATGACTGGAAAGGGGAAAAAAAGCGGAAATTATTGGTGGGGACTGTCCCCACCAGGCCATGGTGGTGGTGTTGATATGTCCACACCAGTCCTTCAGAAAGTTACACCTGTGCCACTGGTCACCACCAACTAGTCCATAATTCTAAGCAATTTTCTCCACACAGGGACGCACCCACGGAGAAGCCCACTCTGGTAATTACCAGCTCCATACTAAAAAATGTAGCATAAAAGACAACAGGAAGCCTAGTCAAACATTTGCTGGGGGCCAGAAAAGGCGACATCAAATCCTCTGAAACTGCTGGCTAAGGAAAAGGTTAAATATGGTAAGATTCACACTGGTGGTGATGACACTCAGTTCCACTGATCAGAGGCAGGGGGTTTTTATGTCTTGAAGACGTGGATGACTCTTAACTGTCTGCTTCTGAATGCAGACAAAACAAAAGACATAGTCTAGTCTTTGGTGCAGAACTTTTGGAAAAGGAGCTGATTACTTGGGATTAAATTGATCTCAGATAATAAAGTAATTATTATTTTTATCAGTACCTTTCATTTAAATTCCATATCAAAGCAGTTTCCGGAATTTTCTTACTTCATCTGTGGAAGATTTCAAAAATTCGAAATATCCTTTTCATGGGTGAAGCTGAGATACGAGGTCATGCATTTGTTACTTCAAGGCTGGACTATTGCAATTCTTTACTATCAGGAAGTCCACTGTCACGGTTGAGTGGAGGTTTTTGAGGATCTAACTGCAGAGATCAGGACACAGATGCAAGTCTTGCAGATTTAATTAGGCAACTGAGGCAGACATCCAAAAAAATCAAAAATACTGAGAAGCAAAAATGATGAGGAATCAAAAAACAACAACAAACCAGCACTGAGTGACTGCGGAGGTGGTGTATATATGGGGAGAGGGAACCAAGACCAGGCTAATCAGTGAATTGGGAGCAGATGTGGGCAAGACCAACTAGGAAGCCAAGGCGTAAGGAAACAAGCACAAGGGGCAACAGAGAGTAACTAAAGAACTCAGCACTGGAAGAAAACAACTACAAAGACAGAACACAGAAACTAAAAATAAACTCAAGCACAGGGCAGAACCCTGACACCCCCAAACTGTAGTTAAAGCCTTCAGCTGATCCAAAATGTTGCAGCCAGAGTTATAATAAACATTAAAAATAGAGATCATATTTCTCCTATCCTAGCTTATCTTCTTTGGCTTCCTGTTAAATCCAGAATAGAATTTAAAATCCTCCAAACGTTATACTTAATGTTTTTAGTTCTATTGTTACTTTATGTTGGGCTTGTCTCCTTCAGCTGCAAGCAAAACTGTAAATGTTAAAAGTTAATTCAAACAAAGGTTACATTTAATCATATGGGTCTGAAGTCTACAAGACTGTTAACCTTACATTAGTGAACAAAAATGTCAAAGCTAGTTTTGTCCCCTTCTCCCACACCTAAACTTTACATCTCTTTATCTCATTCTTTTATCTAACCTGCCACTTTCTCAACAGAATATAATAATATGCAATATATATATTTTTAAAACATCTTATAGTGGCCAATTTTTAATTGCATAAACCAAGAGTTCCTTCACGCTAAACTCTCTCATTAGTCATGTTAGAAGCAGATTTGTTTTTATTAATTAGGGATGAGGAGAGGAAGGATATTAAAAGTGAAGTCTCATTCTATAATCCTTTTGTACACACAGGTGTGTTTTCAACATCAAAACTGCGCCACACATAAGATTCCTGTTCCAGTCCCCCAGCAACTTAGTTTAATATCCAGGAACATGTACACACAGGGGAAAACATCATTTTCAGTAACATCCTCTGAGGTTTTTATTGGAGAAGTGTTGTGTCATTTGCAGCATATCAAAAAGGTTGTAGACATTTATTTCTACATGTTAATCTGGTTATGTATGAGTGTGTGAGCAAGGGATTTCTTGATGTGTTGAGCTTTTTGGAGGTCCACTGGGACAAAGGGGATTACATGGATGTAATCCTTTTAATAAGAATTAACGTTGATACAATTTATTTCCCTCATAAAGTCTCATTTGAGATAGTAAGTAATGAATAAGACATGATACTAATAACTTGAATACACGTGCCCATAAGGGAAAAGAAAAGTGGTCGTGAACAACAGGAGTAGGTGTTACTGTTTACATGTTACAGTACTAATTGGATCAGCGTTACTGCTCATTTCAAATAACATGAGGACTTTGAAACAATTAAAACCCAGCCAAACTACTTAACACAAAACCTCTGCCAGAGCTGATTACAGAGTCAACAGTAGAAAGACATTAAGAGACTATGACTCTAATGAGATTTTGGAAGAATAATGCAGTGATCAGGGAAATAAAACTGCTCTGTGAATTACTGTGTATCACCTTTAGAGGGACAATGCTTAAATAATTTTCCTTTTTATGAGTAAAAATCAAGAATTAATTTTATAAATACATATTCTGTCAAACTCTATTAATAATTGCATTGGAAATAAAAGCATTCCCACAGCTTAAAATTAGTTATTTGCATACATGTTGTGTTGCCTTCTTTGATCAGGGTAGCCAAAAGGGGAAAGCCTTAACCCTTTAAAGCCCGATCCAAGAATAAAACAAAACAGAAATGACTTTTTTTTGTTTGAAGTCCTTATTTGTAGCCTGGGTGCCACTCCGAACTTAGTCCCGCCCACAACGTTTGAGGTCGGGAAGTTCGGTCTGGCATTGCTCAATAGTAGCGCGAGTATGCTAGCACAATATCTGGCGGGCCAATGAAATTGTCAGGGCGGGCTTTATACGATGATGGACAGATGATCAACAGTAACGTAATCAACCACGTCACCAAAGCGCGCTTGGGTGACAACAATAATGGCTGCCGCTGGAGAGTTGAGGTGAGTAGATTCTGCTATTAGGTCTGTTCTAGAAGATATCCACAGCAAATGAATTTTAAAAGAAGAACAGAGAAACGCGATCAAGTCTCATCTTCTTATTCTAGGCGTGCAACTGCACGCTTTGATTTTTGTTGACAACAACTGTGCCTGGCTTAACATACGTCACGTACTCCGTTGCTCTTATTGGTTGTAGGTCTATCCAATTGAGTGCAGAGGGATCTTTTTTCCTGGTTCGTTCGAAACACGCCCCATAATCACAGCTCTATGGAGCAGTATCAGACTCATATTCTGACTAGAATTGAGTAGGACTACGTCAGGCTACCTTATTTGGCCTTTTAACAAAATATGTAAAAAGAAAAAACAGAAATACATTTTTGATATTAATAATTTATTACTATGCAATAAGTCAAGATTATTTTTTGTGTAGTGTTCTGCCCTCTGTTATCAGGTATATCTGATTGTGTACAATAGGATTTTGAGCAAAGTTTTTACCATTAAATTATGCAAAAAGTGTCAGACGCAAAACATTTCATAAACCGTATGTATCAAATACGATACATTTGGCATTACAGGGTTAAGTATTTACCTGTCTATGAGGACATGCTGTCAGTGGAGGAGAAGTATGAAACACATAAAGGAAACTGTAAATTGTTCTGTTGTGCCATATGCCATGATCATGGTTTTTGAACATTGAGAACCAGTGTCCATATTTCATCTTTACATGGTGACCAGAGGAGGAAATAAAAGTTTGGTGAATAATC